ATTCCTTTTGCCTTTTATCTTTCTTGTGCTCCAACAAGAATTCCCCAAGTGCTTGGAGATTTATCAGAATTTGTTAGAAATCAACTAAGCATTTGTTGGAAATCAGAATTCGCACGTATATTACAAATCCAACGTGAAAACAAACACTCGCCAAATATTTTTTATTATTAATTATCATTTCCACTTTACTCTCTAATTTCACCTTGCACTTACAGCATTCCTAATCAATATATATATTTTTATAGCTTTTAGAAATAATGTTAAAATGACATCCTATCTTATATGTCATTTTTATGTTCATGTGCCTTGTTCATCATGTACTCTAAATAAATGGAATTTGAACTATATGCATGTGCAGGAAGAAGTGGTGGTTAATGCTTGTGTGGTGAAGAGTGGAAGAAAACTGGAAATTTGCTTTATCTTACTCATGCTACCTTTTTAACATGCCGATTTCCAGCTTATGATCAATTAACTTTCTGGTGATTCTGCACTTCTATTTAATGTATGTAATAGTAATAAAATATTTTAAATTAATTAGGCTGATTCTTATCATAAATATATGTCCAGGCTTATTCTCTTTCACCTTTTCCAAAATGCGTTTTAAAATTATATGAATGACTCAGAGCGCTTGCTACAAAGCCATTTTTTGTTCCAGTAACAACAAAGGTAATATTAACATTCTATATAAACAATTTTTATCCTTATAAAGTTTTCTTTTCTTTTCGGTTTGGAAAAAGTGATTCTTATGATAAAAAATTTCTAAATCATAAACACATTATAACTTGTGTCATTTTTATTAAAGTTAATAGTTGTGATGTTGGAGTTTGTTTGAAGTCCCGCATTGCTTAGGTTTCTGTTTTTGGAGTTGAGATCCAAACATATTTAATTTGGTATCTGTTGATATTTGTAAATTTATAGTGTTAAGAATATTTGTATATAGAATAAGATTCACAGCGACTATATCATGATATTATTTTTAATCTCTCTATATATAATAAAGTCTTCGTAGTGCTTTTCAAAATACACGGTTTATTCAAATGTCTCTTAGTCTCTCGTATTTTAACAGGGTATCAGAGTCTACTGAGAGAAAACCTTTCACCGTGCTTTATCTGGTTGATCCACTATCTTTCGATAAATTTTTTTTGGAAAACTATGTCATAACTCTGATTTGCCTTCCATACATCGTCGTGACTCATTCTGACACCAGTTTTTGAATTTCTCCGGTCCCCACCAGACAGCCACCTACATTTTCCGCCCAACTACTATTTCTGGTGACCTTTCAGAAAACTAACCCTACTGGCATAAAGCGCCTCATGCGATCTGGATGATCCCAACGATTTTTTCACCGCCCCACTCGCCACTGTGCAACTGTTCCAGATCTGGCCTCAGATTTTATTTTCCACTCACAGAAAACTGTGATCCAGTTCAAACAAATCATTTTTATCCGGTTCGCGTGATATTTTCTCATTTCAGATATTCATGTCTACTTCTTAGAATTTTACGCCAAACTACGATGATTTTCTCAGGTGGTGTGGGAATTATCAGAATTCAGGTTCTAGTGCTCTCGGTTGCACATACTAGTAATTCATCTGTTTTCCTCTTTCAATCATCTTCTCTTGGACCTTAGTTTGTTGATTCTGGTGCGGCTGATCATGTTACTGGTAATAAAAAGATTTTCTCTTCCTTCTCTACCTCGAGTTTCTTACCTACTATAACATTTGCCAATGGTTCTCAAACTCGATCTAAAAGGGTTAGTAATGTTCAAATTATACATTCTCTCTATGTTACTTTTGATCTCTATGTACCTAATTATCAATTTAATTTACTTTTAGTCGGTCGTTTAACTCGTTCTCTTGATTGTATTGTCACCTTCACTAACAACAATGTTACTCTGCAGGTCGGAGTTCGGGACAGACGATTCGCGTCACATGTGAATCTCAAAGCCTTTTTTATCTCTTAGTGTCATCTCAGACATGCTCAGCCAAAGGTTTTCCACTCACTATCCATGCTCAGTTAGGTCATCCAAGTCTTCTCAAATTACAAAAGTTGGTGTCAATTTTATCGAAGGTATCTAATTTACATTGTGAGTCGTGTCAATTAGGGAATACACTTGCAGTTAATTTTCCAATCGAGTCAATAAACGAGCTTCGTTCCCTTTTTCTTTATTTAACTCTGATGTTTGGGGTCTCTCACATAGTGTGGTATTTTGTCCTCTTTATTGATTATTTTTTACGTTGCACGTGGTTATTTTTAATGAAAAATATATGAGTTATTTTCTATTTTTGAAAAATTTTATAAAGAAATAAAAATTCAGTTTGGTGTGTCTATTCATATCTTAAGAAGTGATTATGCTCGTGAATACTTATCTTGAAATTTTCAAATTTTTATGTCCATCAAAGGTATTCTCCACCAAACATCTTTTCCTCATACACCTCAACCAAAACGGGGTAGCCGAACGCAAAAATTGGCATCTCGTAGAAACCTATCGGACCCTACTTCTCTATGGTAATGTTCCACTTCAGTTTTTTTTAGGGGGGGGGGGGGAGATGTTGTGCTAACAACATGTTACCTTAAAAATTTGTCATGCCCCCTCATCCGTCCTTAACAATTAAAATCCCTCATTAAGTCTTTTTTTTTCCAATTCCCCACCTTCACCCCAATTCCTCCCCCCGAGTCTTCAGGTCTTGATAAAACTATCAGCTCGATCACTAAAGTGTGTCTTTCCTTGGTTATCATTGATTTCAAAAAGGTTATCATTGTTATTCATATACTCTACAAAAGATACCTCATATCGGCTGATGTTACCTTCTTCGAGTTTGTTCCATATTTCAAGTCCATCCAAGTAATTCTGGAACCCCTTAAAAGAAAATAACTCCCACACCCTCTTTCAGAAGTCCATCTTCCATTGTCCCTTATCATTCTAGGAAACCTGGCCCAATAGATACCCCTCCAATTTATCACCACTTCTCGTCCACTTCAAACATATTAGTGTCTTCAACCAACATTTGTCGTATATATCCTTGAAGTCATTACAGACTCTCCTTTGACGCTCTCTCTATCATCATATCTGATCCTACAACCTGAGTCTGATCTTTAATTTCCCATAAAAAAGGTATAAGTCAAACATGGAATCCTTCTCCATATTATATTAATTTATGTTATCATTGTCTTTCCCATTTAGAGTATACTTGTTTGTTTTCTTTGTTTATGTTTCTATTCCTAAAACTCCAATAATTGATGAAATGTATGCTCTTCAAATTAGTGGTACATGGGAACTGGTTCCTCTACCCCCTATGAAATCTTTAGTAGGTTGTCGTTGGATTTATACAGTGAAGGTTGGTCCCAGATGGTAAGATTGATTGATTTAAAGCTCGTTTGGTAGCCAAAGGATACACTCAAATTTTTGGGTTGGATTATAGTGATACCTTCTCGCGTGTAGCCATGATGGCATCTGTTAGACTTCTTCTAGTCATTGAAGCCATTCAACATTGGTATCTTCATAAACTTGACATCAAAATGCATTTTTACATGGTGATCTTGAAGAGGAAGTATATATGGAGCCAACCACCCCGAGTTTGTTGCTCAGGGGGAGTCATCGAATATGATATGTAGGTTACAACATGTCTCTTTATGGTCTTAAGTAATCTATGAGAGATTGGTTTGGCAGATTCATCACTGTAGTACAACAGTTTGGTATGGCCTGTAGTGAAGCTTATCATTCTGTTTTTTATCGTCACTCAGCTCAAGAGTGTATTTATCTTATTGTATACGTAAATGATATTGTCATAATTGGTAGTGATCAGTGTTGCACCCCAGAATTCACCCTCTTCATTTTAATCCTAATTGTCTTATTTTTCTTTAACATACTCATTCATACATATCACTGATTCCATGGTTACGGGGATCAAAGCCTTTATCTTTGTCAAGATACAGAAGACGAATGTGTGTCACATAATACAATGAAAAAGAAATCCAGGGTTTTCGAGATTCAAATGCGCTCCGCACTATTTCTTCGAGCTACTTAACCAGTTAATAATCAAGGTCTCATCATGCCAAGCTCTCATGTGTTCCATCATGCTTCAAATTGCAAATAAAAACCGAGTGATTCAGTTGATTCAAGACAGCTAGGACAGAAAAATGGCATTTCGCAGTTTGTGTTCAAAAATTCATAACTTTCATCCGAAAAATAATTTTTGAGGGGGTCTTTGGGCGTTGGA